CTACAGTGGACCAGCTGAAACGGGAGCTGCACAAAGCCTGGGATGAAATAACAGTTGAAGAGAGTGAGAGCATTGTCGATAATTTCATGAAAGTCTTGATGTTTGTATTCAATTAAAGGGCGGTCATTTCGAACATGTTTTGTAACCATTTGTTTTTGCTGTTTGTTTTTGTTAAATAAAAAAGTTTGGTTTGAATTCGTTGATTATTCGTGGGGTTATGGTCTTTTAACTATTCCGGGTATTTTTGGCGCACTCTGTATAATGGATTTAATAGGTTCAGAACAAGTCGTTTGTGCTGAGAGAAATAATCGTTTCTATTCCATAAAAATAACATTATTTAACATTTGAATAAGACAAAACTGTAATTCCTCCTATTCTTCTCTATGATCGTAAAACTTGGTCTCTCACTTTAAAAAAAGAACACAGATATGGGACGTCTAATAGCAGGATAATATTTGAACCTAAAATTGAGAGGAGAAAACTCCGGAAAGACGAGTTCAATAACTTGTAACTTTCACTAAATATTATTACGAGACCAAATTAATGATAACATAGACCGGACATGTGACTCGAATGGTGAGATTAAAGATGCCTAAACATTCCAAATACCTGGGGGTAGATGGGAGGATAATATCTGAATAGATTTTAGGTAAACACAGATGGTAGGTGTGGATTGTATTCATGTGGGTTAGGACAAGGATCGTTCGCGGGTTCTTGTTAACACGGTAGTAAAATTTCGGGCTCCATAATAGGCGGGGAATATTTTGATTTGGTGGGCGATTATCGGTTTCTCAAGAAGAACTTTGTTTCACAGAGTTAACGTGTAGCAAATAACATCTGTATAAACTATTAATTAAAAACGTTTGTGTTCGCTGTGAGGAGTTACATATATGTTTGTCTTTTATATACGTCTATAATTTTACTGTGGTTAATTGTAATTTTAACCCAATTAAGTTTATATACGAAAGAAACTATCACAGATGACAAAAGATCCAATACCGAATTTTCACAGAGAAACGATAATTTATGTACGGCAGAAATGTCAAACTGAATGTATACCAAGAGCCGTGTAAAACAGAGCTAACTGTTCCTGAGTCATCGCATGGGTAGGAGAAATCATACATGCCAAATTTTACTAATTCGAAGCTTAAATGTAAGACATATTTTTCGTTGAAGATTTCTGTCTTCTGGGTTGTTGCGCTGTGTAGTCTGGTAGATGTAAACATCTATCAGGCTACAACTCATAAGACAGAAATCTTCATACTCACCGCTGTGAAAACCTCAAATCATATATTTTTCGTTAATGTATTTTCCCCAACAAACACACACGAATCTGAATTTCAGTAAAACATTTTTACTGTATTTAATTTTAAAAAATAAAACCTGTGCAGAAGTAGATATTCGACATATATTCGTAACATTTTGTGTCTCATATGGTGCATAATTCGAGAAGTGAGTAGAGCCCCTTAAAAAATTTAAGGGTACCGCGAATTTTACATGCCCCAAGTAAGTGACATCTCGGACATTCACATCTATCCCATAAGTCCCCATAATTAAATCTGATAAATCGATTACCAATCAATTTTTCTAAGCTTATAAACCGTAAAGCCACTTCCAGATAATGGAATTTTCTGTTCTCCTTTATTTTTCTCTTGTAATCATATGCCAATTGGTTCATGCGTAGGAGGCAAAAATGACGTAAACGCCATACCAATCAATTTCCTCTGCGCTTTTATCTGATTCTGTACAGGATGATAAGAGAAATTGGCAAAAATTGATAAGCAGTTACCATAGTGTACATGAAGCGATCAGACGTAGCTAGATCGCTACACTGAGCAATCAGTTAAGTTTGTAACAATAACCAATTAGCAAAATGAAGACAGTGAAACAATACAAATAGCACTTCATCTCGTGTGTTTAAACATTCAGGTAAGTACTAAAATAATAGAACTACATATCATAACACACAAGCCAGAGAAATATTTAGAACAGCTCAGATACAAGGTTGACTTCAATACGAGATCACGAATAAAGCTATACAACACGCTACAAATATTGACTACGCTGAGTAGTCACATTTCTTCCACAAGCGCCATGTCTTTGTTCCAGAGCGTGTGGGCAGAACTGTACCAAAGGAATCTAAAATTAGTATCAAGAAAAGCTGTTAAGAGACTTAACGTATAATGATAGTGACAACTATTTATATCCGTCATAATGATGTGCTTAACTGAATCAAAGACAGTTTCTTAAAAATAATGGTCGCATGGAGTAAGTTGTTCGATCATTCACTTAGTAAGACAGTTAGCGAGTCGATAATTAAATTCAATTATTTATTTTCGTGTGCTGCATCAGCAGCCAAATGGCTATTTACAGATATAGCACATCTGTAAATCTTATTGGCTGTAACAATAATAATAACCATCCCACGAAGACATGTGATTGAATGGAGGTAATGCTCGATGTATTCTTTGTCTCGATTATGATGATGATGATGATGATAAAGGCACCCTATGACAATTAGGAGCAGCACATGTTAGCATTAACATTTATACGGAGAGACAGTCCCGGCCCTGAAATGCCATTAATGTGTAGTACAAAAAACATTTTCAGTGTTATCAAATAAAGCCATTGATTTAACATGGATTAAGTGCAATGGAAGGTCGTGTGTTGCAGAAAACAGCTATCTTACATCCAACTGATACACAATCTTATCGCTGGCTTTCAGAGACATAAGAACCTTATTCCTTCCAAAACACATCATAACTATCTATAGCTAATCCACAGTCATTGTTCTTTTGTTTTATGAGCTATCATTACGCTCAATGCTTTTATTTGAAGAACATGAACAGTTAAATCATGTGTTACGAGACGAAAACGCCATAATTTTTATAAAATTTGAGATTCTCGTGTAATCTGTCAGAAGGAAAATCGACGTTTCAGAGGCCATCGCAAAGATGCTGGAAGCAGCAAGGAGGTCTGAAACGACGGTAAACTTCTGGGCAGACTATGCGTTGCTACAACTCAGAAGACAGTTCGGTCGTGTGATACAGTGTATATCAATTAAAGCATTTCCTATTTTAATGCTATTTTCGCAACTATTTTAACAGACGAGGTTGGCGACCGAATCAAGGAAATACAACCATCTCATTTGGTATTGAAAGAAGTCTGCTGTTGAACGTATACTGGCCTGTCATAGTATATTAACAACCAAAATGTTCTTTCAGGATTAGCTGGTTACATTCAATTCGTTTAGCCTATGATATCGTTACTATTTGTACAAACAAATACAACAGTTATGTTAACTACAGAACCACATAATTTAATAAAATGCACAATGGTGATGTGCCTGCCTATCCGAAACTTCTGTCTCTGAAACCAGGGAACGAATCTCGATTAAATTTGATATAAGGATCTACAATAAAATTGGTTTGGCGTAAGTCATTTTGGTTCGTATCGGCACAGTCCGTGATTAGATTTACAGCAAACTGCAATAATTCAATAAGAATTAAATTGAGGTATCTAAAATACAAATTTTGCACTTTTAACGTTAATTTAGAGTACGTAATTTAGTTGTTTCACATATTATAAACTGATATTGGCAACATTAATTTACCCCAGACTATCTTCTGTCTGTCGATACGTCACCGGAAATATCTATTGCGAAATGTGACATCACCTGAACCATGAAATATATTTATGATCTTTCACTGATATAAACATCTTATCTCTCTTAACTTCTACACACTGCATAAAATTATTTTGCCTATTTCAAACTAAAGAACTCAAAGTATTGTACCTTAAAACAGTATTAGGAAAATTATAACAGTGATTCTTGCAGTATAATATTAAAAACATAATTCTGCTAATAGCATGAGTACTAATCACGGGCAAATCTCTAATAATTAAGCTTTTCATGAAACCTGCAAATCATACTTTACCATATGACATTTTTAAATGAGATGAACATCTCTGTTATTAGTATATATATATATACTCTACGATGTGATTTGGAGTGCATTCGAATTCCCTTTCTGCTTCTTCATTCATTCCAAAAGCCGACTTAAACACTACTATTTTCCCCAATGCATTGGGTCTATGTTACAGTAATATGAAATTTGTTATTTAGTGTTGAATAAGAAATATGGCAAAGATCTTAAATACCCCTCATGTTGCCCCTGACATCTGAAAGAGCTCAGTACTTGTCTTCGTTTATCCATTACCTACGCACTTTTCTCTAGTAGTTTCGTATCATCTGGAAGGCACAGCAGAACAATATCACACTCACTTTGAATAATTTATCAGCAACCTAATGACAAACAAAATTTCTAACCGTGCAGAACAGGCCCACTCTTGCTAAGTGAAAATGTCCTAATTACAGAATTTTAAATTACCATTCACTCTGAAGGCAGTGCTAGAGGTAAGCGTCACAAGCGACAATGAACAAACTAGAGCAATTTTCCTACCCCTAGTGAGTTCTTCTACCGGAAAACACAAATTATATTACCTTAACTAAGGAGGTATGGATAAAAACAATATATTTCGGCCTTGTAGCCTTAAAATTCAAACATCAAACCAGCAAATCACTCATATAATATAAAATATGCTTATTTTAATCAGAATAGCTGTATGCATAACCTGAACTTCACTAGCTCTATTGTGAAGGAACTTTAATAAATCAATTAAAATCTTTCTCTTTTATCAAATCTAAAAGTTCGTGACGAATTTCTCTTTTGTCAAATCTAAAAGTTCGTGACGATGGTGAGTTATTTAAATAAAAAGTTCTTTGGATATTTTCTATCGTCAAGTAAAATAATAAAATAGAAACGACATTTCGGAGATAGAGCCCCATCTCCGAAACGTCGTTTCTATTTCATTATTCTTGCTGTTTTGTTATTACCGTCGTCGTCATTGTAGATGCATCTCGAATGAGATTAAAAATATCGTTATTCTTTTGTTACAGATTTACAGCAATGAAGAACCACAAAAACAGGCCAGACGAAAGCGACGATAATCAAACAGACGATGAGACGTCTTCGCTATACAGTAACGGGTAAGAGTTCAAGCCATTTTTACTCTACTTTAATTAATATCTATTCTCATCTGTTGGTATTTTACACATCGAAGAACGACAAATTAATTCGTACGTATTTTATTCGGAAAACAACCTGATGTGTGGGTGACGTCACAATTCAAAAAATCTATACCGACTCTACTGGTAACAGGAAAGGCATCTGACTATGGACTTTACACTGAGATGTAAAGTGTTATTCAGCAGTGTAACAAGAGATAAATGCTTTCGGAAAGGCGTGTCCAGAATTTTCACGGCAACCGTTACGGGCCGCTCGCAACGCTCTCACGCGCCAAATTGTTTGCTAACGGTTAAACGTACATTAACAATGCACAAAACTCAAACAATTGTCATAGTTTATTTTGAAATATTTCTTCAGTTTTGCCTTTCAAGACAGTTTATCACCTTGAAGACTAATTACTATGCACATCTGAATTAAAAAGGAAATAAGTAATACAAATTATAAAAGTATATACAAACATACACTCCACAAAATCAAAGCTATTAAGATGATCTCAGGTATCAACACAGAATTGTAGATGCGAACCCGAGCTAAAATATTCCACTTGAAAGAACAAGGATTATAATGATACCGGATTCAGTGTGATTTCTTGAGTTTCATAGTTTATCTAGCTGTACTGTTTAGTCACACTGTAGAAAACATTTCGGGTTGAGCACGAATGGAACATTAAAAAGAACACAGAATTACAAATAATGGCCACTTACATTATTCAAAGATTTTCCTAGGAGGGGCCTCAACACTAACAGTGATTTTAACACTGCAAGAATTAATAAATCACCTCCAAATCTGAAGACAGAAGCCGTCTACGTTTGTAACGGGTACAACAGCAAATACTCAGTACGAATGTTAATTTGTTCCAAGGAATACGAAATTCTTTAGTAGTAAATAGTTATTCATTTGGTCAAAGAAATCGGCATAATACTGATTAAACCGAAGCAGTTCAATCCACTCTACACATTCACAATCCAATTCTCTGAAGTCCAGTTTAACATTTTCCTCCAATTTTTGCCTGCATCTCCCAAAACACGTCTTCCTGACGGTTTTACCATCAACATCCCATACACTCAGGTACAACGTACGACCTCATTCTGACGTTCTGTATTAACGATATAAGTCTGTTGAACTGAATAAGCATTCTGAGTCAGTAACGCATCTAATATAACCGGGAAGTGCTCCTTTCTAATCCCGGTAGTTTCTTCGTGACTTTCCTCAATCCATCCAGAACATTTCTTTGAATCTGACCACAGGACCATCCTCTCCAAAGATACGATTCTACTGTCATAGCCTGTGACGTTCATACGGCGCCACTGCTGTACGATACACTGAGCCCACTTCTGTTATATACAGGGGACAGCCCGTGCAGGCGACAAAGGAATGGGACGTATTCACGAACAACCCACCCGTCATTATCAGCGGGTCTATGGCGGACCAGACGTGCATCCAGACGTCCCTCAAGATCATCAAACTCCTCGCTTACATCCTTACGTTCACACTCGTCCTTGGAGGCACTGTGGTCTCCAAAGGAACAGTGCTCTTTATGACGTCACAACTCCGCAGTGAAAGGACTATTCCGTATTGCAACGCGTCCATCGGTAAATATAGTTGTCAATCCTACTGACGTTGTCTCAATGTTCGCGGGACCAGATTAAATAAAATAGTCTTTCTTCAGAAATTAAAGTGACCGACAAGCGTGAGCGCGGCTGACGCTCAAAGAGAGAGAGAGAGAGCGAATTACAAATTGCGACGTTGCCCTCGCTAATAATTTTTGCAATCGTCCTATGCTTACTTCGTACTCTTCAGCAGCGTTTTCTTGATCTTTGGCAACGTCGTGGACTGCCACATTCGATCCTACAGAGCGTACAGCAAATGACAGTAACTGATTGGCTGACGAGGGCACGTGACAGTAGCTGCACAGAAAGGTCCAAAACTCAGTCAGTACAGCATTAGCTCATTTGACCAAAAATTCCCCACTTTTTATTGAATCCCAACAGTTTATTAATTACCCTGTTCGCAACAGCTCGCCACAAATTTCTCGTTTAAGTGTTAACGCACTGATATTCTGATTTTGTGTCAGACGTTATCCTCTATCCGTTATAGTGCTTCATTCTTTGCAAATACCCGATGGTCTCGACTGAGCAGCACTCGTGGGACCAAAATTTAACCTAACTCACTTAATAAGTACTTTAGTCATTTCAATAATCATATGGAAACGCGGACTAAGTTACTCTTAAGCCTGCAGTTACGTGAAATACACGTCGTTTCCGCCATTCCGCTTGTCTCGCCAACGAATCTATACTAAACGGTTTCTAATTAAATATGGAGAGAAATTTACACATTTCCGTTCTTAGACTTCGCTGAGGTCTGCGACCGTAATTGGTTCGTTAAATTAATACTATGCAAGTTATTTATTAACCATCTGAATATAAATTTAGGACTCTTACCCAGTGAGTCACTGAGTCCTGGGTTCGATCTTAACGTCACAGTAAGCTTAAAATAAATATGTCAGATTTTCACGATCAATCACACGAAGACCTCAGTAAACCTAAGTCCCTAAACCTTCTGGTTTATCGAATATATTTTAGACAAAGGGCAATGTTAAAAATAATACTGTCATGAATTCCCTTCCTGTTTCAATTTATTTATGGGAATGAGTTGCCACTTTCAAAACGGTTTGAGAGCAGCTGCGTTTTAAATTCAACTACATATATAAATATTTAAGTTTAATTTGTATAGCACACATTCAAGATTTCTAACCACAGAATGGCATCTGATAAAAACAGTGTTAATATAACATATTACAAATACAGAGTACATAACTGAAACATGTGTGTCTACAGACAGACAGAAGCAGTTCGTGGTGACGCTGCCAGAGGAAGAACGCGTAGGGTGGGTGTGGTGTTTGTTTTTTGCCTACGCGTTTCCTGAAGTGATGGCGTTTCTGCGTTCATTTCGGATCTGCTTCTTCAAGAATGCGCCTAAACCGACGGTATTGGAATTCTCTGCAGTGGCTTTGGCTGAAACCCTGAGAGCTGTCGGCACTGGACTCATGATATTTTTGGTTTTACCTAACATCGACGTGGTGAAAGGAGCCATGCTTACCAACTGCCTCTGCTTCGTACCTGCACTTCTCGGTAAGATTTATCAGCAGGATATACAATTACAAGAAGCATATAAGATGGATGATTCTCATTTATCTTTCACTTTGAAAAAAATGTTTCCTAAAATTCTTAAGTAAGTAACCCGTAGTACAACTAAAAATCTTTTTCGAACGAGTTTTGTTACTTCAGATTTGCTCTTCTTTCGCTACATCTTAGCAAATTCTGTTTTCCATATCTAAATCCACACACGTGGACATTACTAAAATCCTCCCATGCACTGTTTTAATTTTCATATTTCTAACCTCAACTGTGCCTATCCCCTCCTTTGATAATCGTTTCTACATTAAATATTGGCTTCTTCCCTCTCCCAGACATTCTTTACATCATCATATTCCTCTTAAGAATTCATCCACATGTATTATCACAAGCCTTTGCCTAATGTACTATGTGCTTTCTACATTATTCTTCGTTACTAAACATAACATTTTCTTTCAAGTGTTACAGCTCTTTGTTTCAATTTGTTGCGTTTTTTTTAATAATATACCATGAATCTGACTATTACCTGTTAAAAGTAACAAACTTATTTTGAAAGAGTTTATACCAAACACGTGAAGCAAACACCAGTTGATCAGAACACTGAACTTGCAGTTAGTAAACATCAATTAATGTAACGAACATTTAATAAGGCGGAAACCTAAGCTCGTCTTAAGCTCCTTGATTTAATTACGCCAAAAATACAGAATGTACCGTTTAAAAAGGAACACAGCAATAATCACGTACTACAATAAAATAGTCTGAATCGAAATAGTCTTCTGCTGCCGTTTGTGAAAGATTTGTGAATAGCACCGAATAAGAAAATAAACCTATTGTTAACAAAACTTTCGGATACAGGAAATTCCTTTCTGCGAAAAAACAGCTGAAATTACGGCCGTACCGATTTCAAAAAGTTCATTAGCTTCAACAACAGGAAGAACATGATTTTACATGAAGGTTTCATATGTACTACGTATATTTGCGTTTTAAATGGAACATTCTGTATTTGGTGAAGAGTACAAATTATGACGTTCCACATTATGAAATTTTCTCCAGACCCCTCCCACTTCCACTTGGATCGAAATTAACCTAAGCACCATGCTCTCCAGAACTTTCAACCATAAGACACCAAGTTACACACCCATATAAAACAACAACTGAAATTGTAATTTACGTGCTTTGAGTGTCACGTTTTCATGAAGAATAAAGTAATAATAATCCAAACGCATTACTTTAATTTTTATAATCAGTTATAAGTAACTCTCAGAATAAGAATTCTTGATTGGCTGGAAACGGAAACAGTGTTGGGAAATTACTCCTACATGTTGTCTCCTCTTGCGCATGTGCTATTAGCCCGTCCCATTGGCCGTGTATTTTACTAATCGCAGTTTCTTATCTAATGAAAAATCTGAAAAAAAAATTCTAAGCAAGGACCAAATGTTTCAGGCTTGATTCCTCGGCGGGAAGACACGAATGGCGAAAACAGAGCTGCAGAGAACATTTCTTTCTACGTAATGGTGTTGGTCAATTCTCTGGCTTTGGCAGCGCAAGTAACCGGGTTCGTGGTGTGGCCTCTGTTGGAAGGGGGGGATAAACCCCAACTCTGGTTGCTTCCTATAGCTATAATATTAATATCCTGTGGATGGTGGGAAAACTACTACATCCCTGCCAAGAATTCAGGTAAACATCACAAGGTAAAATACCCAGTGGCCTACAGCCATAATAAATTTTAAGATAAAGTAAAGCCATGTAGGCGTTTGGGGGGAGTGGAGGTATAGCTCCTCTCTTCCTTGACCTCGGCACTAGATGGGGGTGAGTGGTCAGCATCACGCCTCGGCCGGCTTTACCCCCGGTACCCATTGTAGAGGAGGCTGGGTGGGCCCCAGAGCCAGTCTGGTCGCAGTGGCTAGAGGAAAAATCCTCTGTCCCCGTCGGGGATCGAATCCCGGTCGTCCAGCCCGTAGCTAGTCACTATACTGACTGAGCTATCCCGGCTCATAATAAATTTTAAGATGGAAAAATTAATCATTAACCTCGGTCGCTCCCACACACGTTATTAAATTAAAATAGTCCGCTGAATAAGTAAATTTGTCCTTATGCGCAATATCATAAACATGGAGATAACTCCCCATGTAGTTTTATTCATTCTACTGAATGCATGTGAATGATCAGCTAAAAAAAGAGATGTAAATGAAACTTAATGGACAACTGTAAACCCTGATAAAATAATTAAGGTACAAACATTGATATTTTAATTAATTATACAATTTTCAGACTTTCCCTGCAATTTTAGTAGTTTAAAGTCGAATATCCATCGAAGTAACTATGTTAAAATAAAATTTACGTCATTCAAACTTTTATTCATTTAACACAAAGAGGCAGTACAAATTTATAACATCGCATCTATGTGTGGTAACGACATTACCCAAAGAAGACCTGAATATGACAAGTATAATGTCAAAAATACAAAGAGCTCTCGAGTAGACGATAGTGATTTAGTCGTAGTAATAACTTATTAGCTTCGAGTTCTGATCGATTAAGTCCAGCAGAAAGAGCCCCGATTTATATTTCGATAGAAGGCTTGATGGGCTATGGGCCTATTCGGCCCGCGATGTTAAATAAATACACAAACCTACTGTTCAGTAACTCTATTAACTGACTCTCGCTTCCCCTCAGAAATGGTAAAGTTCCTCAAGAGACTGAAAGACACACGGCACTACACATTCTTGTTCATATCGATATGGAAGATGATCTGCGTGTTACTCACATTGCTGGTAGTCACTTACATCGAGCACGGCTCCGTTCAAAACCTATTCGATTTGTTCGAACCAAGTTTCTCAGCACGCAACATACCCATCAAAGAAGTAAGTGCAATGCCACCAAAACCAATCATTTTACGGAGTTTATAAAATAAACACTTGATGCTGAGGCAATGTCTAAAAAGTATTTGAGGTTCTCACGGCGGTGAACACAAAGATGGCTGTCTTCTGGGGTGTAGCGTCGGGTAGTCTGGTAGAAGTTACCAATGTTTCTTCCTCCATCATTAGGCCTTATCAGGGCAGCAAGTACCTCATAAACGCTGATAAACTTCTAACAGATTACACGGCACTACAATCCAGAAGATAGCCATCTTCATTAATTAAAGTTCTCACGGCTAGTACGAAGATCGCTGTCTTCTGGGTTGTAGCGGCTTGTAGTCTGGTAGAAATGTACTGACCTCGAGAGGTCCTTGCTGCCTCCATCATCAGGCCGAGATGATTGTAACCAATAACCGTCGCGTTTGATTTGGCTTTATAAAACATTTTTTTCTAATTCCATTGGTTATGGCCTTGGTCTTCTGCTTTGGTAAAAGTAAAGTAAAGTTTGTCCCACTATACGCCATGTAGGAGTTTGGGGTGAGAGGAGGTATAGCTCCTCTCTTCCTTGACCTCGGCACTAGATGGGGGTGAGTGGTCAGCATCACGCCCCGGCCGGCTTTACCCCCGGGAAAGGACCCCGGTACCCATTGTAGAGGAGGCTGGGTGGGCCCCAGAGCCGGTCTGGACGCAGAGGCTAGAGGAAAAATCCTCTGCCCCCGTCGGGGATCGAACCCCGGCCGTCCAGCCCGTAGCTAGTCACTATACCGACTGAGCTATCCCGGCTCATCTTCTGCTTTGGTAAGACGATAAATTACAAATGTTTCCAAACAAATTTCTCAGGAAAATAGGCGATGACCAATTCTGGATATTACACCGACACTAATTATGGAGTCGATAAGTTTTTGCGAAACGTTATAATCATCTAGAAGACTACACAACGCTCAGGAAGTCTAATCGCGGGGTTAAATTTTAATTGTTTCACTTTCCGTTATAATAACGGAACGTCAGTTGGCGAGTGAGTTAGTAATTGACTATTGATTTAATTTTCTACAACGCCGGTCAAACTTAATCTAAAAATGTAATAGCAAGGTACACCCGTGACAATGTGAACACTGAGACGAATCTATTGGCAGGTTTCGGCATTCAACGACACCAGTATCCCCGACGATATAGACGCTAAAGAGGTGGACGTGTACCGGTTTGAGGATGCAGCGTATTCCACAGCTCTGTGGATACTTCTCATACACACGTTGGCCTCATACATCTGCTACATATCGGGTATGTACATATATTATACTGATTTTACTTTTTCGTAATAAATGCTTATAACCGAATCGCATGGAAACTAAACTTTTTTTTTATTTAAGTCGAACTATCGTTTAACAGAGTTGTTTACCTGCGTTAGGTAAATAGAGCAAAGTTAATGCCCATGTATTTATGATCCAACTCAACAAATTACAAGAGACTCATTTTCATCTTCTTTCCTCATTCTTTTCCTTGTTCTTCTTCTCTTTCTGACTCTGCCCCCGAACAACTTTTCCTCGCCCTTAAGAAAACATTCCTCAGTCATTCCAGGGAAGTCAGATTCCAAAAATATACTGTCATATGCCAATATGTTTCAAGTAACGATGAGACAAAATGGACGTGAAATTTGAATCACGCAGAACATTTAGAAGGGGAAATAACACAGACAAGAAAACCCAGAAGCACGTTTTCACAAGCAGCTAAACATCGGGTAAAATAAATATACTTTAACACGAGTTTAATGAAACAATATATTGAGAAATGTACGACCACTCCCGGCACAACGCTTACAACACAAAGATCAGTGAATATCTCTTCCAGGGAAATTCGCATGCCGGATACTGATACAGAGTATGGGTTACGCGTTGCCAGTCAACATTACGGTTCCTGTGGTCATCTCCTTGCTGATCACTGTCTGCGGCCTGAGGAACGGTGACCCCTGCTACTTCAGAGGTACTATCCCAGACTACTTGTTCTTCGAGTCCCCGCCCTACTACCTCCTGGAGGACTACCTCTCCACACAGGTGCGAGAACGTTTCAATACAGATATTTCATATTTCTCGATGTACCGTCTCAAATTTAATTTAACTATCATCAGAGCTGATTGATCGATGGATTTATTGTTCATTTTTTGTTAAATAATGCTGATTCAACTGCAGAGGTTATCATCACGAATCCTCTCTTTTAAGATATAATTCTAGAGCAGGATTTGAGGTACTCACGACGTAGAGTACGAAGATGGCTGTCTTCTGGCATCCATCTTCACAATCCTAAAGTTAGCTCTGAGATTGAAGAAGTGGAAAAACCAGTCAAGATAACCCTGCAGTGAAGTAAACTATTAAGATCATATTAAGCTCAAATATTATTTATTGTTATAAATTTTGGAAAATGTTATTTTATCTATTACAGCAGAGTCCGAATTATCCGACCTGCCGTTTCGGAACGCTCAATTTTATTAACAGTCAACTCAAATGTCTGATGCTTACTGGAACCACCATAACAACTCAGAAGTTAAAACGTTTTACTCTGTCTCTTAAGATGCTTATTAAAATTATTTCCAACTTTATTATTTTCAAAAAACAATATGACAAAATAAATCTGGTTTTAAAGGGCTTAAATGTTGTTTCCCGGGGTCGATATATGAAATGTGACAAACTATATTTATGAGATTTGGTTTTTCACGGGGTTCAAAAGTTCCAATGTTTTCGACTATGTTGGATTTGAAGATGACGGCAATAGGGTCCTAGAAAAGTTAGTAACCACGTACAAGTCTACTAGACGTCATAACCCACACTGCAATTCCAAATTTCTTTAGTAGAATGCCCTCGGTCACATTTCAAAAGTGGTTGCTTTGCGTCACGTGTTTCTGATGTTGTTTAATGATGTCCCAGCACGCTTGGATATGGCTACTGTGGCTCCTGTCCCAGACGTGGATCACACTTCACATCTGGTCACCGAAAGTGGACCGCCTCATGTCCACAGATATACTGTTTACGATGCCTATGTATGAGTCGCTGTTTCTGGACCAATCCCTGGCGCTCAACAGACGACATGATGAAGGAAACGAAGTATTGACACAGGTAATATTAAACACTTGTTTCTCCTTATGTTTGAGCAGCAGAGTGCTAAACAGAGCATTTCTGTCTAAGAGTGATCCAGAATTAGGAGGACAGGGAAAATTTCACAAGGAGGTGATCGAATTGAAAAGACGTGGACGGCTCACGACTAAGCATCGGAAATAAAATAAATTCATACAAAGTAAAATACTTCTTAGACGGAACATATTAAAACGGATATTAAACAAATAGAATGTGAACAGAATTTAACTCGCTCAGCATTTTACCTACTATGTTAAAATACCAAAGATTGTGCTTATTTGAGAACATAGTTTTGAACACAAAATTGGACCTACGAGAGGGGAAGTAACAGAACGAGAAAAATCAAATCGGCAAGAAGATTCAATTGCGTGTAAGTTTCGTCAGATATCAAATCAATGGGAGTGAGACGGACGTGGAGGTTGAGAAAGGCGCCAAATTCAATAAATTTCAAACGAATAATGTTAAAAGGAATCTCGTACATAATATGGGAAGGGTTAAAGGCTCAAATAATTATTTTTTTAAAACATTCATGAATCTAATTTTAAGGAACATAGATAAAAGTGTTTGAAGTTTATCTGTAGTTAAATTTACCCATTTCTTAGAAATAAGAACAAGCAATTTGGTATAATATAAAAACGAAATATTGTGAAGAATTGGGGAAATTACAGAAAGAAATTCGTGACAGTTCTATAGGATTAGTTAAATTACGGATTTATACTTGGTAAAGGTTTGCAAGAAACTAGCGTAGTCCGCGCAGTGGCAGAATCGTGAGAATTCAGCCTCTACCTAAGTAAAAATCACAACCTATATGTTCGGTGTTAATGCTGACAAGACTGTAACCTTAGCTAATGTTCGATGTTTAATGTTGGCAAGACTGTAACCTTAGCTAATGTTCTAAGTTTAATGTTGGCGAGACTGCTACCTTAGATAATGTACGATGTTTAATGTTGGCAAGATTGTAACCCTAGCTAATGTTCGATGTTTAATGTTGGCGAGACTGCAACCTTAGCTAATGTACGATGTTTAATGTTATCGAGACTGTAACCTTAGCTAATGTTCGGTGTTTAATGTTAATGAACTGTATTCTTGGCTTTCTTATGCCTTGTGCCTTCGTCGAGGAAAGGTTGCTGCAAGTTCTGTACTAGTTTGAAGTTTATTTAATAAAGAAATAGTCCACTGTATTGGGACATAATCCCATACAAGGAACACCATAATCACAACAAAGATCAACTAGATGATAAATGTTAGGAAAATAATCTCTATTTGTACTGAAAATAATATGAGATTCATAAATACAAAATGCAGCGGTCACTCATTGTTAAAGCAGGTGGGGCACTTGAACTTAGAAAGTTTATTTATTGATAAGAATTGGGCTAGTTAAATGCCTGGTCAAATATCAGGCTTTGGTGTTTGTAATTTGGAACCAGTGATTAATTCTTATGTTACCAATTCTCTATAATTGCCTAGATTACGTAGAGTCGCGTAATAGAGTGACTGTGTTTAATTCACCTGAAAGGATTTAGAAGGCTGTGGCCTAGAATATTTTAGATTTAATTCTTGCATCCGTATGGAAGGTTTAAGAAAATCGCGAAAAATATTCGAACAGCTGTGATCTGAGCAGAAATTCATAACCGAAACCTCCCGAAAATAATGAAGGTGTACTAACACGTCAACGAAAAAGTATGGTTACAGATATCTGGTTGATCCTTTATTGGCTCTCATGACAGTCTCGTGTGTTTCAATGTCATTGTCAGGAACTGGAAATCGTTGGCCACGAAGAAGAATTTGCAATGGAGCACAAGCTTCATCAGGACATGATGGACCCAAAGGCAGATATAGTGCGGCAATCTGATCACATCAGGAGGGTCTACGCATGCGCAACCATGTGGCACGAGACGCCGGACGAGATGATGCAGATGCTAAAGTCCATCCTCAGGATGGACGTGGACCAGTCGGCTCGTCGACTCGCTCAAACGTATATGGACATTGTGGACCCCGACTACTATGAATTTGAAAGTGAGTTTAGCTGGTCAGAATTCCACCCTGACAATCTATCTAAAGTTTAGACATTGACATACCACAAGCACAGCAAATTATATATACTAATTGTATCTCAGAAAGATTAAGTAACCGGAGATTACTTATCTTATAACCTTTCATATCGTGTGGATATTTGTGTGAAATCTCATGGACCATCTTCCATTCTAAGCTATTTATTCGTTTCAGTCCTCATGAGACAATTAATCATGTCAGTTCATATACTTGGTTCAGACCATTGCACTATTTAAAATCACACAACGTTATAATTTCTAAAATTACAATGCAGTAAAGTAGTAACACATGACTTTAAGTAATATCAACCGATTACGTCGCTGTCAGGAAATAGGACACGCTGGTAGCTACTTGTTCAGAAAAATGAAACTCATTGGGAGTCCAACCTATCAGCAAGGCAGTTCGATGCTATTGAAATCATTATTGTATTTCAAAGTGTAATATGTGAACAAGCTGGATGCAACTTTTGTGAATTTATCCTGCTAATTTTACCTGAGTTTGAAACATACTATTATTATGTAACAATTCTTCCAGCCCACATTTTCTTCGATGACGCATTTGAAATAAGTGAAGAGAATGATGACGAAGTAGTTGTGAACAGATTCGTCAAGGATCTCATGGTGACGATAGACCAGGCAGCCAGCGAGGTTCATAGTACCGAGTATCAGCTGAAGCCTCCGAAGAAGTTCCCCACTCCGTATGGAGGGCGGCTGGTATGGACACTGCCTGGCAAGACCAAGATGATCGCGCATCTCAAGGACAAGGAAAAGATCAGACACAAGAAACGATGGAGTCAGGTAAGGCACATTACCGTCCTTGCTCAAGGTTTCCATTGCTCCATAGTGACTGATTAACAGCTGGACAGCCGAGGTTCTAGTCCCGGCAAAGGCAGACATTTCTCTCTTTGTCACCGCGTAGACTCTACGGCGCAGTCCATGGCTGCGATAAACCATACATCACCCACCTGAGGGCATAGCAGACTCTACAATGAGTGGTCTGTTGTCTCTAAGACCCATAATTTATTATGAATTTATTATAATAGCCGTCAAGGTCACAGTAGAATCGTACAACGTTGCAACACGAACTGTGAGTCCTAGGGTAGTGATGACAGCTCATAACTCGCAGCGTGGCAAAGCTAGCAACGCTGTATTGTTGATTTACAGCCACGCAGTAAGGAGAGGGGTATTAAATACTTGCTTGCAGTTACAAAAGAAAATAATGTACCGCAACTTTAATGACTAGATACATGAACTAAATACAGGTCATCAATGCGAAAGTTTACACTTGACTTGTTATTGCAGGTGATGTACATGTATTACCTCCTGGGACACCGCCTCATGGAGCTGCCCATCCCCGTGAAACGCAAAGAAGTGATAGCGAAAAACACGTTCATCCTCGCTCTAGACGGAGACATCGACTTTAAACCAGAGGCAGTGCATCTGCTGATAGACCTCATGAAGAAGGACGACAAACTAGGAGCGGCTTGTGGACGAATCCATCCCGTCGGGAATGGTAGGCAGTCTCAGCAAATTTTCCTCACGACATACATAAGACGTCTTCGTTCCTCAAATCCTTTCCTCATACCCCTAAGCTTCTAGACATCAATCTTAAACCATGAAAATCCATTTATATCGTTTCTAGCACAACAAACTAACTATTCTTCTGTTGCCAATTCCTGTTATCATCTCATTATAAAATATTAATTTGTATTATTAAAACAAATTAAATGTGGGCAATATTATGCTCCCCGTTTTCAATCTTCACACATGGGGCACCATCGCCTACTAAATCTGTATTCGGCCCCACTCTCTTTATGACATCGTACCTGGTTTGCTGGTCTAACTAACTAACTAACTAGATGGCTTACCGAACCCGAAGGTTCATCACCGAATTAACCAAAAACCTCCTCCGGACCCTGTCCTGGTCCAACAAAATCCAGTCTCCTTCAAATCCTATCTCCCATAGGTTAACAATCTGTCACCGTAAAAAAAGCATTGTTAAGAACACATTAACTAAGCCTCGGATCAGGACGGACTCTTTGGCACGACCATGGCAATTGAAAAAGGATATGAGTTTTGGTTTACTGGTCTAGTGCCAAAAATGTCTTGAAACACAAACTTGTGTATTCGATTCTTGAAATTATAAGCTTACCATTATCAGTAATGTTTTGTGTAGCCTGTCCTTGTAACATTAACATTATTATAAACTGATTGGTGGCAAATGCTTCGTGTATTAAAAATTATACGTATACACTAATACATATATAAAATTCGCCTGTAATTATATTTCTGCAGGTCCTATGGTGTGGTATCAGATGTTCGAGTACGCTGTTGGCCATTGGCTGCAGAAAGCTACAGAGCACGTGATTGGCTGTGTACTGTGTAGCCCGGGTTGCTTCTCCTTGTTCCGTGGGGTGGCTCTTATGGACGATGCTGTCATGAAGAAGTACACTTCTTTATCAAGCGAAGCTATACACTACGTACAGTATGATCAGGGTGAGACAATTGAATGCTTCTCATGACTTTGAGTCAGAATGGTCTTTCAAACTTTACAAAATCTGTTCACGGAAATTATTACTTTATTATTCGGCCGGAGCGAGAATCTGTCTACTCAGCTCCATCCAAAGCTGATTAGACGTAACGTGTAGCCCTATATAAAATATTCCGATACTTAAGATTTGAAACACGTGATTTACAACTTCTTCTTCTTTGCCAATTAACCAACTTTTCCTGCGGCCTGAACTTATGACACATTCCATATATATATTGGACACTGTCCGTTGAGTGAGATATATTTGGCATCCCTCTTCGTGTATCTCAAATGTAGGTCAGATACTGGACACTGTCAGACATAACACTAGACACGAGGCCTGTGTTACAGGTGAGGACCGATGGCTGTGCACGCTGTTACTACAGCGAGGGTACCGGGTTGAGTACTCGGCTGCCAGCGACGCCTACACGCACTGCCCGGAGAGTTTCGACGAGTTCTACAACCAGAGGCGACGGTGGGTCCCTTCCACCATGGCCAATATTATGGACCTGCTAATGGACTACAAACGAACCGTTGCAATCAACGACAACATATCGTTTTTCTATATTTTATATCAGGTACGTCACTAGTAAGGCGGTTCTAGAGAAATATTTTTTGAAAATGAAAAATTCTTACTAGAAAATCTTTCTTGCAAGACAAGAAAAGAACTTTTACGAAAATAACTCCATTGTGAAGATTTATATTTGAGAAATAACAGTCGTTTAGCTAGTCATGAAATTTCCCTCCCGTTATGGAACTCGAAGATACATTGCCATGGTGACAAGAGCATGCCATTGATCCACATCATCAGTTAAATTCAGTAAAATATTATTCAGTTCAGAAACAACTGACGTTTATCTACTTTTCACCTTACTAACTGTCTGATAATAGACAGTTTACGACACTAATAAAACAGCCTCCCGTACAAAAGACGCAATCCTGAGCCAGTTCCATCTACCCCCACCCACCATCCTAATTACATTAGATCAACCTCAACTGTCAGAAGACAAATCTCACCTAAATAATATTTAAAAGACAGTTTTTACCTCAAAGAAAACACAACTCGTCACTATTACAGAGATAAATTCGTTAGCGTTGTTTAAAATAATAATCGCTGTTCGGTCTGAGAATCATACAAAATCCATAAATAAACTCAGTATCAAAAGTGCAGGTATACTGCATTTGGTTGCGAGATATAGAAGTGGAGGACATCCTATGCGCCCTATGGCACGGAGCACACAGACAGTTTCCTTTCTTTGGGTCCTAAAGGGTTACAAATAAGTTACTGAAGTACAGTAAAACTCCTCAAGTTGACACCCCTATATCCCGGACACCCCTCTGTATTGGACACTTTTAATTGGAACCGGCGAATATCCTATGATTTTACATGTCCACAATACCCTATATCTTGGACACCGTTTTATCCTGAATCTTGAACATCCATTTTGTTGTAAGTTGGACAGGTTCTTGCACTTAGCTCAATACTTTTCAGGGAAATGTTTACAGTTATTTTGTTGTCTCTAATTTCTGACTGAGGAATGCCTTCTATCTGGAGGATTAGCTTATGGTGGAGGTTGGGAGACATTGAACCCATCATTGGAATGCAGTGAACGTGTTTAGTTCAGTTAAATTCAGTAAAATATTATTCAGTTCAGAAACAACTGACGTTTATCTACTTTTCACCTTACTAACTGTCTGATAATAGACAGTTTACGACACTAATAAAACAGCCTCCCGTACAAAAGACGCAATCCTGAGCCAGTTCCATCTACCCCCACCCACCATCCTAATTACATTAGATCAACCTCAACTGTCAGAAGACAAATCTCACCTAAATAATATTTAAAAGACAGTTTTTACCTCAAAGAAAACACAACTCGTCACTATTACAGAGATAAATTCGTTAGCGTTGTTTAAAATAATAATCGCTGTTCGGTCTGAGAATCATACAAAATCCATAAATAAACTCAGTATCAAAAGTGCAGGTATACTGCATTTGGTTGCGAGATATAGAAGTGGAGGACATCCTATGCGCCCTATGGCACGGAGCACACAGACAGTTTCCTTTCTTTGGGTCCTAAAGGGTTACAAATAAGTTACTGAAGTACAGTAAAACTCCTCAAGTTGACACCCCTATATCCCGGACACCCCTCTGTATTGGACACTTGGGCATAATTGGAACTGGCGAATATCCTATGATTTTACATGTCCACAATACCCTATATCTTGGACACCGTTTTATCCTGAATCTTGAACATCCATTTTGTTGTAAGTTGGACAGGTTCTTGCACTTAGCTCAATACTTTTCAGGGAAATGTTTACAGTTATTTTGTTGTCTCTAATTTCTGACTGAGGAATGCCTTCTATCTGGAGGATTAGCTTATGGTGGAGGTTGGGAGACATTGAACCCATCATTGGAATGCAGTGAACGTGTTTAGTTATTCTTCTGTTGAACCCTTCACTGGACTACAGTATTGCAGATACAATTTTAACTCCATCAGTACCATGCTACCATTTTAGTTCAAACTACGTTAACAGAAATGGGAACATTTATGGAATTAACTTTAGAAAATTTCATTGAGGTTGGAGTGTAATGAGCAATGCATGGGAGTGGGTTTTAAAAGATTATTATTATTGTTGTTGTTATCAATTCTTAATTCAAGTAAGCCTACAGTAGTTAGTTCATGTAAGTAAATAGATTACATTGCCATTACACCACAATCTGAAAGGATGATTTTTCCCTTTATCTTGGACACCTCTGTAAGTTGGACACATTTTTATGGAACTGTAAGTGTCCAACTTAGAGAGGTTTTACTGTAGATCTATTATTTAGCCACAACCATCAGTAAATTTTGAGAAAACAAGTATAAAACGTAACTTTAACAACTAAAAGGCTAAAAGCGTTTTGGTATCAGAAGTACTCACTGTAATCTCCTGCAGGTCTTGATGATGGGGGGTTCCATTCTGGGACCAGGCAACATCTTCCTGATGTTGGTCGGAGCCTTCGTGGCAGCATTCAAAATCGATAATTGGACCAGTTTCATGCTCAACATTGTGCCCATCCTCATTTATATGTTCGTCTGCTTCTTCTGCAAATCCAACATACAGGTACGTCAATATACGTTAATGAATAATGTTTAGTTCTGGCCATCTTTACTGACATGATTGCTATCGATACTTATAACTCCGCACTAATTAGCAGATCAAAAACGTGTCCCGTTTTCATGAAATCCAAAATGCCATCGACGTATCTACAAAAACCCGCGTTATCACTATTTGGATTAAAATCCAATCCTAAAGTTTACACGCTATTTTATCAGACGTTCCAAAGTAAAAGTCCCATCTATTCACAGACATCCGAAGCAATTTCTACCCTTAAGGTTTATCGACCCATGTTCTGTATGACTCTCGTTTCTGCCATGCGTGCTACGTAGCCCACTCAGTTCATCCTGCTGCATTTAATCATTATATTCAAAGATTTAAAAAATCAATGTGCAAAGTGCAATACGCGACGTTTAAAGCACGTAACGACTTGTAGGACCCAAAAAAGTCGATCGCTGATTGGACTCACGGTCGATAAATAGATCTAAGTTCTACTTCTTTATGTTCTGATGTCTTTTGAACTCAGAGGCCTTGTGACGTGACCATCACCTTTCCAAGGAGTTTTTATCATATATCTAAAACATTCAGTGTTAATTCAGAGTTACTTTTTGGACCGGGCGAAGAAACTTAATTCGTTATATATGCATAAGAATAACAATGAAAATTAATATTTACATATGTGTCAGTAATAAGAATCAATCCCACGTATATAAAATAACGAGAAATTGATGTGCATAAAACCTGTTGCAATAACTCAGAGATTCTACGTGTATCTTCTTGTTCGCTTGTCTTCAGCTGTTGGCTGCGAAGATCATCAGCGCCATCTACGGTCTGGTGATGATGGCTGTGTTAGTGGGCATAATGCTGCAGATTGACGAGGACGGTCCCTTAGCCCCTTCCTCTTTGTTCTTCTTCGTTGTCGCGGGAGAAATGATCATAGCAGCCTTCCTCCACCCTCAAGAGTTCATCTGCCTGCCTGCTGGAGTTGTATATTACGTCACAGTACCTTCCATGTACTTGTTGCTCATAGTGTACTCCATCTTCAACCTCAATGTTGTCAGTTGGGGTACGAGAGAAACTGTCACTAAGAAGTCGAAAATGGTGAGGAATATTTTCTGAGTTTGGTCAGAAATGAAGACTGACCTACGAAATTCCTTACATCTCTTTAGCATACAGAATATTGTAATTGTCATGTCGTTTATGACAGGCAGTAGTTAAGCTCGTTCCTTTTATAGAGGGAACGTGTAAGTTCAGGGTTGAGCAACTATATAAATAAATGCGTGTAGAATAAGAATGTAAACGTAATAATTGAAATCATTCAAGAACTTATGTTCAAGAAAGCCTCATAATATTATTAACTGTACAGGATTATACAGCGTTATAGTCAAATATCTAGTATAGGAAATGCACACACCTACACTTCTGAATTAAGTGACTTTACAGGATGGAGTTCTTGACAAAGTAACTGAATAAAAATACACTCCCTCCCAATCTCACGTTTCAATAGGAAATTTACATATATCAACACGTAACAATAATCCGCGGCTGGGCCCTATCCTTGGGTAGTCAAGATTAATACACAATTTCACAATTTATTTATCTAACTGTATGATTAAATTAAAAGTTATCTTCATTCCCACACCTAGAAACTCCAAGAGGTCACTTCCCCTTAGATTTTCTGACAACAATTTTGTACACATTTCTCTTTTTCTTTTCGAATATTCCTCATTGATTTTGGTCATCCTAATAATGTTTATGAGGATTACAAATTACAAAGATTCTCATTAAGTAATTTTCTTGTTCTTCCCCTGTATTAGGTCAAACGTTTTCGTCAGTACGCTATTCTTAAGTACCCTAAATCTTCATTCAACCTTTTGTGCGAAAGAAAACAAGAGATTGACGCTCATATAAAATGAAAAGCAAAGTTTATTGTTGTTGTTGTTATTAGGATCATCATCATCATCATCGTTTCCGTCATTATCATCAATAATAAAGTGTTCGGTCACCTGTCGGTATTAAATGCTGGAGAGTCAATGATGAGCTCGCAATCCACTTTTAGGAAATGGAACGAGAAAAGAAAGCCGCAGAAGAGGAGAAGAAGAAGGCAAAGAAGAAGTCGTTTTGGGGCTTCCTGAGACCAGACCAGAGTAATAAGGATGACGAAGAGGGTTCCTTTGAATTCTCAATGGCCGGACTTTTCAAATGCATGTGCTGTACTCATCCAAAAGGCGCAGAAGAGAAAGTACAGCTCTTGCGCATTGCAGACTCGTTGGAGAAAGTTAACAGGCGATTGGACAACATCGAGAGGTGAGTAGCCTGATAGCTGTTAGGCAGCAAGAGGAGCCTCAGGAAGTTAACACGATCCAATAAACATACGATAAGTAAGAAATTATTGTTTAAAATGGCAGAGCTCAACAATTGCTTTTCATCTCCAAGTTCAATAAATCAATTTTCTTTGATTTTCGTATTGGTAAATTGGACTAAATAGATGAGTCAGATGAATTTAACTTTCGTCCTTATCACCCCTAGTTCAAGTGAACCTCAACCCTAAACTTATTCTCGAAAACTGAAAAAGGCAATGAAACTGACAAAAGACATAACATTTATTTCTTTGTAAGATTTGAGGTTTTCACAGCGGTGAGTATGAAGATGTCCGTCTTCTGGGTTGTTGCACTGTGTAGTCTGGTCGATGTTAACCAACGTTTCAGAGGTCATACTGCCTCCGTCATCAGGGCGATGAGTATGAAGATTTCTGTCTTCTGGGTTGTTGCACTGTGTAGTCTGGTCGATGTTAACCAACGTTTCAGAGGTCATACTGCCTCCGTCATCAGGGCGATGAGTATGAAGATTTCTGTCTTCTGGGTTGTTGCACTGTGTAGTCTGGTCGATGTTAACCAACGTTTCAGAGGTCATACTGCCTCCGTCATCAGGGCGATGAGTATGAAGATTTCTGTCTTCTGGGTTGTTGCACTGTGTAGTCTGGTCGATGTTAACCAACGTTTCAGAGGTCATACTGCCTCCGTCATCAGGGCGATGAGTATGAAGATTTCTGTCTTCTGGGTTGTTGCACTGTGTAGTCTGGTCGATGTTAACCAACGTTTCAGAGGTCATACTGCCTCCGTCATCAGGGCGATGAGTATGAAGATTTCTGTCTTCTGGGTTGTTGCACTGTGTAGTCTGGTCGATGTTAACCAACGTTTCAGAGGTCATACTGCCTCCGTCATCAGGGCGATGAGTATGAAGATTTCTGTCTTCTGGGTTGTTGCACTGTGTAGTCTGGTCGATGTTAACCAACGTTTCAGAGGTCATACTGCCTCCGTCATCAGGGCGATGAGTATGAAGATTTCTGTCTTCTGGGTTGTTGCACTGTGTAGTCTGGTCGATGTTAACCAACGTTTCAGAGGTCATACTGCCTCCGTCATCAGGGCGACAACAACCCAGAAGACAGAAATCTTCATTTATTTTTTATTTATACCGTTTTCTGGTATTTTGTTCTGGCAACAAAGCAGGAAAAAATAATATATGCCTATGTGCAATGTTTTTATCGAAACCGTTCATTATGTTTACAAGCAAAAAAAGTGTGTTTTTAATTCCATGTAGCAGTCTTTCTGGAGAAGTTAATAATCACCTAACCTCTTATGGAACCGGTGGCTTCGATATGGCGCTCACAAGATGCCGCCACTGGACCATAGTCACGGCTCTAATGATGAACCAAATTGCATCCAGAGTTGTCTCATTATTACCCTTTTATCTATCCTCTACACCTAGGTGAAC